TTGCTCGTGTTTCTAAGCCACTAATGAAGCTGACCACTTCTGTGACAAAGTGAGCTTTTATAAAAAGCAGCTGATGTTACATAAACTGGAAGGGTTTAATGTGAAGCACTTCAAATAAAACTCCCTTCAGATATCTCCAGTTCTACAAATCCCATAGTTAAATGTTTGCGCTGATCATTTGTCATTACAAAATCATTTTACATCCATAATTGCAGGCTTACCCTTTCATTAAAGCACTGTTTTAGCTACATGACTTCTTCCTCATGGTGTCTCAAAGGTGTAACAACAAAGGGTTGATTTTATATTCTCACGATACAACCTCATAAATCACATCAAGACAGWAAGAAGGAAACTCACGTGTCATGGTTGTGTGAGGTTTGGACCCAGGAATGCAGATCAACACGGAGATGAAACAAAGATGGCAGCAGAACCTAAGGCCCAGAATGTGGCAGGGCCTCCACAACTAAGAGCAGGCAGAAAAGACAGAAGAAACTAGACTTGACATGTAAAAAGATTTAAAAGGTTGGGCATCATTTGAATTTGAAAAATTTGGATTCCTCATTTTGATTCTGGCTCTTAACGATTCTCAGTTCCTGTTCTTTTTAGAGCCAGGGTCAAATAAGTTTACATGGTTTAAATGAGGTCSCTGACCATTTTTGTATGTCCAGAAAGCCCTTTTTCAGATAAATTGGGGGTCCGGGGGTGGGGGGAACTGATTGGTGGGCCTGATGGATAGAGCTTCATCAGAGCTAAACAACAAAATAAATTTGAAGCTTCTATGTTGAACAGTTTCTGAGTTATAAGCTTTTTTGCATGTTCAGACACCCCCTCCTGTTACGCTTCACGTGAAAGGTCATAATAAATTTCGAAACATTTACATTCAACTTTATAGGTTTGATATTTATACAGTGGTTGATAATAGCCCCATGAGGAATTCTTAGTCGAGTTCATAAAAAGTAAATAGGTTCATAGAATTTGAATTAAAGACATTAAAACTATTTCATTCAGAAAGAACTCTGGTTATWGCTCAAAAACTATTAAACATAGGAGCTTCAGATTTTCTTTGGTTGTTTAGCTCTGATGAGGGGCTATCCATCAGGTCAACCAATGCCCCCCTCCCCCAAAAAATTAATAAATAAATAAAAAATTTCCCCTCCCAAGCCACTACGATGTTGGAATGCACCTAACAGCATGACTTTTTTTTAGGAATAAAGACTTCCTAGTTTTGGTGCATTTCTGCGTGCGGGGGTCTTTATGTTACCACTATGAGGTATCTTGTTTTTAATGGGGGGTACACCTTCACAAGAAAGATTTGTTTTTAAAAACTTTATGAAAACATATTGACACATATCCAGTGTCCGATGCTGTAGGTAGTTAAACATGTTACTGAGCTGAAGTTATGTTTAAAGGCAGGCGTATTCAACTAAATTGCTTCAGGGRCCACAGTTACTGCAGGCTAACAGCTGAGGGGCTGAACATCCAGCATTTAAAGTCATTATGTAAATAAAACAAGTATTACAAAGATCTGTTACCTTTGAAATAGTTTATTTTGCTGCATTTAATCATGAATACAACATACAGAACCATATGTGATAAAAGTAGTGATAAGAAAACAACAAAAATAACACATTATTCCTCTTATTTTCCACAAAGAATAGTTTGACATCTCTCACTTGCCAACTTTTTAAGCCAGTTTTATTTTCACTTTCATAGTTTTATTTTCAACTGCTTGTAGTTTTAACTGTCTTCGATATTCATAGAAATATTTTTTACCAGCTTGTAGCCAAGATTCTGACATTTCTGTAGATACCATATGTCAATGTCTAGCTAAAAAAACTTAGAGTAATTAAAGTAGAAAACTGGGGGTTTGGGCTGAAGAGATGAATGAACCAATTGGCAGGCCAAACTTTGGTCASTGGCGGGCCGGATGTGGCCCGCAGGCCGCCAGTTGAATAGCCCTGGTTTAGGGTCTAGTATAACCTGTTGGCTGTCTCAATGTTGATTTTAAACATATTTTATTGTTTTACTTATCCGGCAGAGGAAGGCACGTGCAACGTGTCAATGACAGAACCCTGAGCCGTGTTTGATCATGTTGGTCGTGCCCCCTACGATACACTTTTATTTTTTTATTCAAATTAAACCACACTTTAGATTGCGGCCGCACACTGTTTATATTTGCACACACACAACCTGCTGATTCTTTTTCATTGGTGTCTGGGCAGCTCACACATTCTTCTTCATTGGTGTTCTTTGGCTCACATATGGATTCTTCTTTGTTGGTCTTCAGTGGCTCACCTGCAGATTTTTCTTCATTGGTGTTCGGCAGCTTCTTCTTCCGGTTGGCAAATTAGGTATCGAAAGTAGAAATTGACATTTTAAAATTCAAATTATTCCAGGAGAATTGTCGCTTTAGTCCTGATTCCAATCGATACTTTAATGCCCAACCCTTGTGGTCTATTGATTCCTGGAGTGAAAACAGGTAATAAAGACAAGGGGTTGATGAGCAGGAGAGACAATAGCTGTGGCTCAGAAACAGGGAACAGGTGTAGATAGGTGTAGCAGAAATGGGTTTGTCACACAAGAAGGATCAAGTGACTGTTTTCACTTTCAAATACCTCCCAAGCATTGTCCAAACTTTTGTGTGTTGTGTTTCAACCTGGAAGGACTCACACAAAGACAGACTGAAATTCGGAGGTTTTTTGACATGACTGGACTAACTTGGCGCTCGGACCCTGGCAGAGGACGAGAGCGCTGACTGAAGGTGTAAGCTCATAAGAGATGCTTTGAGTTATGGGTGGGAGTTTTCTCCCCCCCGGGGCCCGACACCAGTGGTGGAGGTCAAAAGTGAGGGTCACCCTATAGAATACAAATTCAATTTGATTCAGTTTATTTATATAGCGCCAAGTCACAACAAGCGTTGACTCAGGGCACTGTACATGAAGAAAAGAAAAGAACAATCTAAAGACGAAACCAGCAGATTGTGTTGAATCACTTCATCACAGTCTCCCATCCTGAGCAAACRDTGGAGAGGAAAAACTCCCTATTAACAGGAAGAAACCTCCAGCAGAACCAGGCTCAGGAAAGGCRGCCATCTGCCCCGACCAGCTGGGTGGGGGGGACAGGAAAGAGACACAGTCGAACACAGAAGAACTGGTCCAGGTGCACCTTCTTCAGAAGATGGAGGGTGGAGGAGGGAGGGGTGGTGGTAGGTTGACAGTCAACTGGCATGCAGACGGGGCAATTGAGACGACTGGCTTTTATTCACCGGCAGACAGGAGCTGATTGGACGTGGCTGGGCTTGAGACGAGGAGGTCGGCAGGAGCAGGTGAGGCTATTAGTCTTCAAGAGTTGAACTTCCTTTTAAACTCCTTTTTAAATAACTGTTATACACAAACAACTGTTTGCAATTTTTAAAGTAACAACATCCTGTAAACAAATTGGGTAACATGAACAATTAAAACAATTATGAAACATTGTTATAATGACAACCTGTACAGCTGAGGTGTTTTCATGCACCTTGTTAAAAGACATGACTGTTTATTTCTCAGCCTGACATTAAATCCAAATAAACTTCTCCTGTTTTAGGTCAGTTGGGATTCCCAAAATTATCCATYCATCCATTAKCTTYACCCGCTTCTTCCTTTCATAGTCACAAGGGTCACTAAATAAATTGTTTTATATAATTCTTGATTACTTTCTTCAAATTCCTAAGTTTACATTCTCTAGCATTATATGCCTTCAAACAATTTGGGTAAAGCTAAGATGATGCATTACACCTTTAAAAGCTTTTAATAGGTTAGTTAATAGTTATTTGGAGGCATACCTGAGCATGCATTATAAGGCACACACCCAAACACGTTGCTTTTAATGCGTGACATTAAAAATAAATCAGTCAAAACATGAGGAAGAGAAGTGTCAACTTTCACATCCCTCGTTCAGTCAAGGATTTAATTTCCTGATGCTTGTATGCATTACATTCATCCGTTCATGCAAGTTTGAAAAGCATGGGAATGTTCTGCCAACGTAGTCTTCAGGAAGGAGAAATGTTCTGTGTTTGACTTGAACATGTTTTGGTGCTCATTGTGGGAATGAATCCCAAATGTAGAGCTGGTGAAGTTGTTGTGTGTGTCATTATTAAAATGTGTTTATGTTGATGTGGTTTACAGGTGTGCCTCTAGAACTCATCTTCACAAACTGGATGTTATTTATCACGCTACTATCCACTTTGCAACCGCTGCTTCATTTAAAACACACCACTGTGATCTGTACTCCCTGATAAACTGGCCATATCTTCATTTAAAGAGACAAATTCACTGGTTCATGTTTACAAAACCCTCATTGGAAAAACACAAACTTATCAAGTTGTCAAGTTCTGTTATTTTAATGTACATTTTCCTTGTTTTTTTTTTTACTGTTATACCATGTTTTATGGTACTTTATGCTGAATGTGTCATATATTCATTTTCACCATTGATCAGTAAAATCTTGTGTTGTGTTGCTGCCTCTTGACCAGGTTGTGTTTGTAAATATAAATTAATTCTCACCTGATTTACCTGTTAAAACAAAAGTTTAAATAAAAATAAATAAAAATTATTCACTGTGAAACTCATCCTATCCCAACATGGGCTGGAAGGCAAACTCTGGGAGAAAGTGGCCATTACACTGCAAGCAACATATTATAGACACATTTCATAAATATAGCATTGAATATGGGTTTCAAATAGCTGTTTCTATGGCTGTACAAAAATTTAAAATAAATAATCTTACAGCTTTCTGAGCAAGGCATAAATGTATGGTACTAAAGCTGGTGAGAAAGGGGCAGGAGAAACAGAGCAGAGAGAGAGAGAGAGAGAGAGAGAGAGAGAGAGAGAGAGAGAGAGAGAGCAGATTAAGACACCCGCCTCTCAGTGAAAGCTTATTGTACTGAAGCCTTCTTGTGTTCAGAGTCAGTGTAACGGCAGGAGGTTGTGTGTGTGTGTGTGTGTGTGTGTAGAGTGGGGGCTCTCACTTGGACCTGGAAGCTCTGTACCTTTTCTCCAGGTTGTGGATATGAGTCACAGGACTCAAACTTCTCTTTTTAAATTGGACTAATTCTGGCTGGCAGGCTGGGAATGAACTCTGTCAGATGCAGGTGATCAGAGTGATGTGAGGCGACACTTCTTGTCCTCATTTTCTTCTTTTTTTTTCCTACATGAGAAGTTTAACAGAAGAAGCTCAGCTGACTGAGGGAGGAGACAACTACCTGTGTGTCATCCTGCTGGATTGGTAAATAAATCTGTGCAGCATCAACCCCCACAGCTGTTCACAAAGMAGGTTGAGGTGAGTGTTTCCCTCTGTCCTTCTGTATTATTTTTTTTACATCATGTTGTTCTCTGTAGGAAATCAAAGCATTTGAATCAAGTTGTTGGAGGAGTTTTTATTAAAAAAGCTATATTTTCTGTAGCTTATTGTAAATATTAAAACCTCATTTAGATATTATAAGCTCAGTTCATTTAAAAAAATCTAATTCACCTGTAGGACATCCTGACAGAGGAACTCAACGGCTTTTTAAACCGGTTTTATCCTGCAAGTTTCAAAAAAAGCTTGTAGGATATTTTATTGAAATCATAGCCTACATAAAGCCTTTTATTGTAATTATTATCACTTTTTTCCATACGATTCTGTCATTTTCCAATCAACATTTGAATTTTGCTCAGTCTCTCTTGCAGCAGCAGATAATTAGATGGTGGAGAGCTCACATTTACCGCCCAGCAGCATCATTGTTGTCTTCAAAGCCTGTATGGGTGACACCTGCACGTTGAGGCGCTGACATCAGTAGAAAAGTATGCAGGCAAATTATTGGCAAACCAGTTTCATAATCATTCCAGTGGAGATGATAGATTTTAGACCATTTCAAAGGAGGTGCACCGCAAACGTGCAGCAAAAATGCATCTATTTACAAAAACAAAAGTGTGATATCTGGTAAATAAATGTTCATTGGGTTTAATTAATTCCTTGTTCATTTTATCCATTTTGAAAAAAAACAAATGTAAATATAATTAATGTTTTCAGCCTGTTAGTAGTGTTGCAGCTACTCTTGATAAACAGTAATGATTCAGTCATGGTCAAATGCTTGAGTGTTTTTTAATTCATCCTGACATGAGCTCAACATTTGCTACATAAGCTGGCAGGTTTTAGAAATTATAGTTCAAATGTGAAGATATAAGTAATTTTGGTAACTGATAAAACATTTTCACATGCATATTTCATAAAAAAAAGGTCATGTGAATCTATGATGATTAATAAAAACACTTGGCTTTATAGAAATAATCTAATGCAGCTTATTTCTTCAGGACACAATTTCCTTCTCCTGCGGCAAAGAGAACAGAAAACTCTTGCTTCAAATATGAAGAGCAAAACAAATCAGTGAATGTTCATGACATGGCCACCGAAACATCCCTTAATTTCTTTTGTTTCTCATAAACTGCTCAGCAGGTTCAAAGTGATTCTTGTCACGCTTGTTGGAACTTTAATAACCACACCCCACGGACTCATTCGTGTTTTTTTTATTGTTTCAAATAATCATTCTCCTAATCGCTGGTGAATCCAGTACAAGGCAAGACAAACACTTTAAGCCGCTGGGAATCTGTTCATATCCTGTTKTTCCTGACAGTGCTTCATTAAGATTTAATAAAAAAAAAAATGTTACTTAATGTTTGGATGCACACTTGAAAAAATACAGAAAAAAACTGGGAGGAACCCCACTTTTGTTACAAATAGGTTAGTAAGGCTGCTCAGTCTTTAGAAGGAAGTCAACCTTTGTTAAAGGGAGATAAAATCACTCAGGGGGAAACTGTAGATGTCTGTATTTGGCACCTGCAGTATGAGAAGCGTCACTTACAGAAACACTGATGGGATTGTAAGGACATTCWTTACTGTAAAGCATTCGTCTGCGTGTTGCCTGCAGCAGCTACAGTTTTTGCTCTTTATGCTAACTGAAGTGTGTTGAGAAGGAAGAAAAGAAATGTGTAAGAAATAGGCATCCTAATGATATGGTTCATAAATACAACTATATGTATATATTTAAAATTGACATGAAACAGTTTGTTAAAGTAATTTGTGTTCACATATTACTCAAATATATTTATTTGAAATATTCCTATTTTAAGCTGTTTTTAGTGCTTTTTGGTCGGACTGACCATCAAAAWCTAAAATCTGTGAACAAAGCAATAAGAGCACTCCTTGAAGTGAAAAAAAGCCTCCTTTCTGGTTTGATTAGTTCYTATAATAGTGATATAAAATCCTGCTGGTGGAGTATTATTACTTTACACAGAAGTAATAAAACTACCAAATGGTTGCCACATGTTTTTTAAATCATATTTTCTTTGTTTCTTTGAWGCACTTGAGTGATGCTGACACTGATGCCGAGCTCATTGGAGCTTTCTTCAGGCTGACACTCACCCTCCGCTCTGACTCTGGGGTACTGCATTAGTTATATCAGAGCATCGCATTGCAAAATGTGTTTTCAAACAGACTGAGAGATTTGAAATGGGTCATGGATAAATCATGGTAATTTTATGTGGATTAGCAAAGTCTGGAATGTAAAAAGTGCATCTAAATCAGATTGAGATCTGCATTTTTTTATATTCTACCTCGATGTATTTATACCTCTACTTATTATAGACAATGCATTGCTGGCAAACAGATAAATGTGGTTCAGGTTGCCAAAAGAAATGCTGCTTTTGATATAAAYGCACTGATAAAATAAAAAAAGAATGAACTGAAACTGACAGCATTGAAAAGTTGCATATACCACTGATTACAAATGACATTTTCAATCTAAGATTTTTTTTCCATTCATTCTGTCAGTCTCAACGCCAATCAAATCTCCTTTGATCTTATTTATGTTCAGTTTCAGAGAACTGAGGTTAGCTTTCAGAGTGTGGTTTTACCTGACTTCAGAGCAGCCAGTTTAAGCTTCATTACATGTGGTCTCATGATCTCAGTTAATGCGCAAGCAGCACGAGCAGGTATGTAGTTTGATTTATTGTGCTTCATAATAGCCGGAACAAAGTTCTTTTGTTCTCAGAGCCTGAACGTGTCGGCCAAGTGCTGATTTTTTTTCATGCGAGTAAAGTTGATGATTAGAATACACAAATTTTTTTCTGTGCATGTCGGTTTTCCTCTTCTCTTTTCCTTTTTATGTTTTTTCTTTCGCTGAGGATGAGAAGTGGGTCACATGCTTGAATTATCCATTTGCAGGGTTGCATGCCTCAGCGCCAACAAACTTCATTGAGCAGGAGTGCTCTGCTAAGGAGACGCAAAGACCTAGCTGGAGAATGGAGGACAGAGCCGAGGAAGACTGTGTGCAGGAGAACGGACGTGCCGACGGCACCGACAGCAAACCCTGCACCTCTCCCTGCACCAGCCTGAGGGTACTATTATGTTGTTATGAACACTGGAACAGCAGCTAACACCTGTAGGGGTTTGCACTTTGTTAAACAGACACATGTTCTTATATGAATGCATTCGTGCATAAAGAGGCCAGTGATCAAAGATCAAGTTTTCTTCAAAAATGATAAATGAACAGCAGTGAACATGCTAGAGGGGACGTATCGTGCAAAATCCACTTTTATTTTTGCAGCTAAATGCATTTTGTTGTGTGCTTGGAGGCTGTAGGAGTGCAAAGAAGTTGAGTAGTCTCTCCCAATGTGCATATGTTTATATTCAGTCATATTTTTCGGCTTTTTTTAATCTCTACCACTTTTCTTCTAATTAATTTGTAAGTAAAGTTTCCACTATAGCCATAACCCCCTCTATTAAGCTAGAATAAACCAGTCTGGAAGCTGGAGTCGGGTGGAGTGCAAAGCGCCTTGCTTGGATTTTAAAGAGACAGCCTCAAAATGAGTTGATCTGAGACCCACCTCAGCAAAAGGGGTGAATGAGGGGCTTGTAGAGCTACAAGGAGGAGTAATTCAGACCAAAGCATTGCAGTTCCACTTTAATTAGACCACAACTAAATGAATTAAATGTGAAAAAGAAGGATTTAAAAGCATKATGTGTCTCCTTTAACCTGTAWGTCTGTGTTTTTTTAACACCAGTCAAAAAGCAAGTTTAGGTGAAACAAACTTCTTTAGCTCTGTTTTAYGCGCTGCACTGATTTTTCTCTTCATATTCTTTCCATATTCTGATCTTTTAGACATTTCTACATCAGCGGTTAAATATGTCATCACATGAATCAAAGCATCCAACTTATTTTAATTCTTCAGTTGTACGAAACAACTCTAACTTGAAATAGGTCATTTTACTTTGCTGTTGAGAAGTCTTCAATAAAAGTAGCATTCTTTAAAGAAATGCACGTTACTAGCTTCACTGCATGTCAAAGTTTAAAATAAATTGCGTAAGATCCRACAGATGTGGAAGCAAAACTCACATAAAATTGTTGTTGAGAGAAAATTTCCTCATCAAAAATGTGTTAGTTTGATGGTATGACATCACTTTTTGTAGCATGTAGCAGTACAGCTGAATACACTTGGTATGTGAATTTTAAATATGGAGGACCAAAACTGGCATAATTAAAAATATATTTTATTTTAGAAAAGCAGAAATGTATGAAAAGCTTAAAGGAGTTTAAAGCAAAGGCAAATAATAATAATAATAACAATAACAATAATAATAATAATAATAATAATAATAATAATAATAAACTTTAAACTTTAAGCTAAACTGAGGTATCACAAGCAGCACAACCGATCTGCACATAGAGCCTCCTCCTTTTTGTCTATTGACCAATAGTAGAGGAGCTGAACCAAGAGGGACAGCTCACTTTATTTGCATAATGAGGCAAAAAGTCATACGGTAAATGTTTTAATTAATTGGTGCATTGTAAGTATATTTATTTATTAATTTATTGGCCACTTTATACAGTATATTTCTGCTTTCATTTCTAATTAYATCAGTTTTGGTCCTGTATACATATTTATGTTTTTAATTCAAAAAACACTAATCAAATTGTGTCGTTTTTTCCAGTCTATAAATGTTTTATTTTTGCTAGAAATATATTTACTTGTTGTAACAATGCATAAAGTTCCTCAGTCTCAGCTTTCTCTCACACTTTATTCCATCAAGGCAATCAAACATCCATGAAAGTGATGTCATACCATGAAACCAGATGTTATTTTATGAGACAGCTTTGTTGTTTTAATGAAATACAGCTTGACAACGTATGTCATATGACAGTCCTATGCTTTCAATACAAAAGTGTGACACAAGTGTATATATATATAAAGGTTGTGTTTTGGCGGTCTTCCTGAAAGCAAAAAGGTGTAATCTCAAGGTAGTTTCACTCTGGAATCTGTTAAAAAAATAAAGATTCAGGGCTCCTAAAATGTAAATTGTTAAGTAGACTTGAGGCTGAATCAATTAAAAGAAATAAATAAATATGTGTAGACCATTCACAAACCACCCTTCACATTTGAATGATTCCTTAATCTTTAATTAAATACAACAAATGCATTTTTGACTCAAATTAAACTGTGACTATCAATAATGACTGACATTTAAAATTAGTTTATGATGAGAAGTGTGGTATGTTAGTTAAACTGTCAGTTCATGATGGGTTAAAGACAGGAAAGAATTTAGGTTTTTTTTGTGAAGGATTGTGTCAGAGCATGTTTTAAAYAATGGATTTTCTTATAACTGTGGCTCCCAGAAGTTATCTAAGAAAGACCAAACCTGTGATAGGATCCTGGGAGCCATAGGCACATTAGTAGAGTTAAGATGGGCCATGTGGTTGGAGTTCCTCAAAAGATTTTGTGGAAAAAAAAGGTAAAATCCCTAATGCTGTTGAAGTCAAAATACACAGTGCGTTGAGGTTTATTGTGAACTACTTACCTACTTATTATTTATGTGAGCATCAGAAAAGGAATTTTAAGCAGTGAAAAAAAAGTAGAATGCTTTAGTTAAAATAGTTCATTTTTGTCATTTATCTGGGAAAGAGATGGCAACAAATATAAAATTAGCTGTWATGCAGCCTGGGTTACTTCCAGCTGGAATCTTAATTCCACTGGAATAACTGTGKAAAGAAGTCCAAACTTGAAGTCAGTGTCAAAATGCATAAATTAGTGTTTGCATGAAACATGAAACACTGAGATTGAAATTATTTTAAAACAGCAACAAGCTTTGACCTCAGCTCACCTTAGTAGTCTGGATAAAAATAAACAATTCACATCTGCAGGCCAAATTTGGGTCTTGTTAATATTTTATCCAGTTCCAAAAGCAATATATTACATATGAAATAGCTTTACTCTTTATTTATTTTTTGTCACTAGATCTAGTGCAATCTTCTCATGGCAGCTGGCCATCTTCAGGTCAAGAAAATGAAGTTGAAATTTTTCAGTAATCTTTAATTTTTTTTTTTTATAGAAAGAGCAACAGAATCAACTTTGCCTGTTTTCTCTGTATTTTAT